ACCGTAAACGTCGCACCACCCTATAAGTCGCATCAGTCCAAATATGTCTAATAAAATGGGAAAAAACGTAAGTTCGTTGCTTTGCTGTATAAGTCGCATCTATTATACGTCACCGCTGATGCGTTGTGCTTGTTACACGTCACCGCTGACAACCCGAAAATGTGGGCCGGTGTTGTGCCAAAAATTGATTGGCTGCAAAATGATTGCCGCGGCAGCGTGCACTGGAGGACTTTAACAAAAATTTAACAAGATTAACACTTAAAAACAATTATTTGTTTGCTCAAAATTATAGCAAAGATGTGTTTCAGTTTAACTTTTCCTTAATAAATTCACTTTAATGGTCAAATCAGCTGCATTTCACCTGGGCGGCACGGCAAAATGCAGCTGATTTGACGTTTGATCCAGGAGTTCCAGAGCGAGACGAAGGTGGCTCAGTATGGCAATCCAAGTGTCTCATTAATAGCCAATTTGCCATATCAGTCAAGAGCCCTCCAGTGGCTTAAAATGATAGTGTTCAATATTTTCCATGTCAGAATGAATAAAATTGTCAGATCACAGCCAAAAATTGGGTTATAAATATGGGAAAAAAACATAAATATGTCGCTTCGCTCTATAAGTTGCAGGCATGCTAATTTATGCAAAACACTGCGACTTATACAGCAAAAAATACATTACTTATAATGTTATTTGAAAGCCATCCATCCATGATCTTTTCCTGCTTCTTCCTTGACTAAAATGGCCGCTACTTGGTGCAAACTCTTCTCCATATCCTTCTTTATCTTCCAACTAAGTTATATTTAGTTTTGTTGGTTTTCTAGTACCCTCCTACAGTTTTCTACAACTGCAGCAGATCCACAGTGTTTAGATATTTATGTACGCCATAAGCCTTCCATTTTACGTGAGTGCTGTGGAAATTGCTGACCACACCATTTTGTTTTTGTGACTGATTCATTTCAAACCCCATTGTGTCAGCAGCTGGTTCCTTGGATGTAACTGTAAGGCTGGAGTAGAAGAATGTGACTTGAATGAAAAGACACATTTATGTAACAGAGCATGAGAGAAATACGAGGTGAACTGCTGCATGTGTCAGCTCAGAAAATTTAAGCAGCAAAAGCAGTTTCAGAATGCACAAACATCAAAGCTTCATAAGTAAGATCTACTTTGTAGATCCATCCTCAGGTAATTACTTCTCAAAGTGTCTGGGGTCCAGCAGGTAGTGTTCTGAGGATCGTCAATCATTTGGGGGTTTAGCCCGGCCTAAAGGGTGCATTATTATTATTATTATTATTATTATTATTATTATTATTATTATTATTATTA